GTCAGTCAGGTTTTGCTGCAGAACTTCGAGAAATTTTTATTGTGGTTAAAGTTGATAATATTCCCTATGGCTTATACCTAACTAGAACGAAATCCGACAAAAATTGACCAAATTATGGACATTTGAAAATTTAGTGCTTTTTTCACCCCTTTTTTCTCACTTTGACCTTGCTTAAAAAATAGTAACTAACATTTTTTTTTCATTTTAGGTATAAGCCATACAAAAAATAGTATCCTTCAAAGCGCAATTTTCCGATTGTAAATCGGATCATTTGTTCAAGCCCTATGCTCTAAGTTGTTATAAAAAATATGGTTTCGAGAAAAACGCGTTTAAAGTTTTTGTTGCGTCCCTCAGCGCGCATGACAAAGGTTCACTCAAAGCGCCATAACTCGCTAAATATGTTTCGGATCGTAAAATCCTTTTGGCCACATATTCTACACACTTGTAGCTTTCATTTTATGCAAAAAAAAATCAAGTAAACCTCCCCTTAAGCCTATACCTATTTATTATATCTTAGTTCGACCCAGGTAACACCTTGATGTGACTAAAATGCTTCATTTTGAAGTTAGTCTCCTAGCTGATTTTTAAATTATATAGGGTATATGTTCCAATTACGCTCTCACGTTTCCACTATGTCACACCACAAAAATACATATGGGTATGTCACAATAGAAGCACACCACAGTGGAAATCCCGAGCCATAGTTCAAACACTTATCCCAAATCAAAATGAAGCACATATAAGATTAGTTACAATACCATGTACCAAAATGGTGCTTAACATTGTTCCCTGAGTAATACCTCAATGAAAACAATAATGAAAGCTTGTCACGCAAATAGAAGGAGCACCGTCGGGCACTTTCTGAAATATTTCATCTCGATTTTTAAATCAAGATTTAAAGCAAAATAATAACTTCACTGTTTGACACTAAACTGACAAACTGACAGCTCACTCCCATACAAAGTGGCGCTAATAAGGCGATTTTTGCAAATGTACTCGTACTTATTTAAAATAGTTCCGGTGTACCAAAATTGATGAAATTTTGGGTTTGGGTTCCATTTTTAATGCAGATTACGAATATGCATTTACCTCAATACCCTTAAAGAACCCAATTTGGAGGATTCATCTCTTTTGGCACGTATAAGGTGATCCAAGAGACGATTCTCAGTGGAACTGACAGCTAGAAATCAAGAGTGTGTGAGTGATCTGGTGTTGAATGTAAACATAAACAAAGCAGAAATTCATATGAGAGTGAACTGTCAGTTCTACTGTGATCTGTAAAAAGTTCTTAGTAAACAAAAATGTCAGCTGATCGCAACTGTCTCGTGGACAGCCTTATTGCACTTTGTTCGCTTTGTACCAAGTAAAGAACCTGCATTTATGAAGAGACGACTTTTCAAAATTGGAACAATCGATTATCTGTCAAAGTCCTAGGAAAACTTATTCCAATCGAGCAAAAGAACTGTCAAATGGATAAGATGTCGGCTCTTTATAAATTCAGGCTCTTTAGTACCAAGCTACCGTTTCTTTCGAGCAGTGAATTGACACTAAACCGGACCAAAATAGTACTGGGCCATGGTCATGTTGATGGCTCATGGACCGCAGACCCCGATTCAAACACTCACGAACGTAAATTTCAGTGTTCGTCTCCTTCGTCACTAATGACATTGACATTGGGGATGCAAAGAGAAAGTCGACGAAGAGAATCAATCAATGTTACTTAGGACCTAATGCAATGTTCAGCTTGATAAACCATCAAGTACTAGTACCATAGAGGTAACTCTAAGACCAGAAGGTCCCGAAGAAACGAGCTCAACTTTTTGGCTCAGTTCTGGTACTATCTTCGGTCCCAAGCTAATCGATTCACCCCTCGAAACATAGAAAAAACGAATAACCCCTCATTTTATCTGTTAAACTTTCATAGCGAATGTTTTGATTGTGTAGTAGTAGAATTTCGACTACAATGGGATACGTTAAACGTTTGCTTGGGACCAATAGGCTAGTCAAGTAGAGAGCCAATTTAAAATCGTTAGTTTCGTATTGATTGTTGCTAGTACCAACAATCAATACGAAACTAACGATTTTAAATCTGGGGTGGGACGTGCTGTCAAATCAGCCTACTGATCATTCTTGTAAGAAGTTGGTTCCAAACGTAAACAAACCCTGTAGGTTTCTTATGACTTGTTTACGTTTGGAACCAGTTATGCGAGGTAGGCGACGATTGTTCGTATTTGACAGCCATCTCCCCCTTGTTTTAAATTGGCTCACTACTTGACTAGCCTATTGGTCCCAAGCAAACGATTAACGTAGCCCATTCTAGTCGAAATTCTACTGCTACACAATGTTTGTTTTGATTCGCTATGAAAGTTTGACAGATAAAATGAGGGGTTAGTGGATTTTCCTATGTTTCGAGGGGTGAATCGATTAGCTTGGGACCGAAGAGAGTACCAGAGCTGAGCCAAAAAGTTGAGCACGTTATTTCGGGACCTTCTAGTCTTAGAGTTACCTCTATGGTTCTACTGTGATCTGTCAAAAGTTCTTGGTAAACAAAAAAGTCAGCTGATCACAACTGTCTCGTGGACAGCCTAATATCAACTGGTGGGAACTAACGATTTTAAATTGGCTCACTACTTGACTAGTACTACACAATGTTTGTTTTGATTCGCTATGAAAGTTTGACAGATAGAATGAGGGGTTAGTGGATTTTCCTATGTTTCTAGGGGTGAATCGATAAGCTTGGGACCGAAGATAGTATCAGAGCTGAGCCAAAAAGTTGAGCACGTTTCTTCGGGACCTACTAGTCTTAGAGTTACCTCTATGCTAATATCATGGCTGAAATCAAAACATTTTTTTAATCGGGGGGCTTAGAGTAGGAAAAAGTAAGTGGAGTTAATACCGATGGCGCTCTAGCAATACTTGGTAACAAATCTATATTTCAGAAAGAGATTATAGAGCTTGCTTCATACGCCACAGGTGTTCGATATCCCCCTGTCAGTAAGAGGAAGACTCTGCCGGAACTAATGTTAAAAGTACTTGATTCTGTCATCAAAATTGTTAACTTTGTCAAATCTGGAGCTCTGGGATACTCGTTTATTCAAAGAACTCTACAATCAAATTAATTCACATCACGTGGTTCTTCTTTTCTAAACTGTTGTGCGCTGGTTGTCCAAAGGCAATGTTCTCAACCGTGCTTTTGAATAGAAGGACGAAATCAAAATGTTCTTGGAAGTTCAAGGGAAAATGATTTCATTGCTAATTTTAGTGTGGAAGGTTGGCTAAGCGCCTCGCTTGATCAATAATTTGTTGTGCATCAAAATTCGCTGGACTTTAAACTACGGGGCCAGTAAACTTTTTTTTTTTTAATACTTTATTAGTGAGGTTTTTAGCCGATGGCTAGTTCATCTCAGAGGGCTAGCAAACACATCTAATTCACTTCCAAGACGATCTTAAAGCATTCAAGCAAAACTGGTCCCGAAAGGTTAGTATTGGAAATGTTGCCATGTTCCATAGACTCTGAAGTATGACTGACAAAAGAGCAAACGAGCTAAATTCGGATCTTTAATCAGAAATTATTGCTCATTTTCACTCACTGGATTATCAATTTGAGCTGCATTTCCCTGAGCTGATACAAGAAGATGCTGATGTAGTCCGCAATCCGTTTTCTTCGTTAATGGATGTGGAAGACTTATAAATGATTCCTCATCTCGTGATTTGTTCTGTGAAAAAAGATTTGAACCAGTGTCGAATCCCAAAGTATTCTAACAGACATTGAAGATCCTTGTTCCATTTGCATTTTCAACTCTTCTCAACATTAAAACCATGACAAGAAACAGATTGAACGTTGACGAAGATATGAGATTGGCATGATCACAAACGCAGCATCGTAACTAGATTTGAGATCTGCAACAATCGCACTGAACGAGTTGTTGGCTGTTGTTAACATAGTATTTTGAAGTAAAACGAATAACTAACAGATCAAATGAATGCTTTTTATTCATCTCAGCGTAATTTATACAAGGTACTTTCCAGGGGCCGCGGAACACCCAATTGTTCACAAAGTGGGTCGTGGAGCTGAAAACGTTGACAACCACTGGCCTAAATCATGATGTGGGTTTTCCAAATCCGTTTATCTCCGTATATATGGCCTTTATCACGATTTGAGGCGGTTGGGTTTTTTTTTTCTTTATTAAAGAGACTTTCCACCTTGGGCTGATAGAGGTGGTGGGGTTCGAAATGTGTATACCAGATTTTCTCCGTAAATTTGGCCTGAATCATGATTTTATTTGGGTTTTCCGAACTGCGAACTTGAAACTCTTGCAACTCCAAGGTTTCTAGAAACATCATAAGCTTCGAAAATTCCAGAAACTCTAGATTTTTATTTTTAAAGATCGGGCACGCCATAGTTGCTTCTCCGTTGCTGATCAGAACCATTGAAATTGCACAGAGTACCACATTGATTTCTATCTTTAATGTACATACAAGATTTCGTTTTTATGGCTTTCTCAGTCTAGGGTAATCCAAACAGGTAGTTGTGCATTGCCCTGTTTGGATTACCCTAGACTGAGAAAGCCATAAAAACGAAATCTCCATACAACCAGTTGTACATACTGTAAAAAAAATTAAACAAGTTCACTGATTCAGATCATTACATACGCCAGCTAGGTTCTCACGGCCTTTGGGGAGAGCAAGGATGATTAATTCGACAATCGTTGTTACTAGAAACCGAGTTTACCACAACATCGTCCACAATTGCCAGATTAGGATTCACTGTGGTCAGTGATGCGATCAGTAAAAGCTGCAGCACAGAAATCTAGTGGGGATAGAATAAGGCACTACTTACTAAACGGTAGTCACTAAGTTACCGAGCCTCGGTCTAGAAACTTCGAAAACTTTAAGAATTCAGAGAACGTTCACGGGACAAGGCAATATGGAATCCGGCAGTAATGATTCCTGACTGTATCAGGCTTTCTTTTCGCTGTTCTTCATTGCAAGCATCTAGCTATATTTGTACCGCTATATTTATTTGGATTAAAACAAGAATATTTGGTAAACCGTTCATACGCCTTCATCAATACAACACAGCCATCCTTTGTTGTACAACACAATCCTTACAAAAAAAAAGTTTACTGGCATTCCGAAAGCCAGAGGCAACCCTGCTTCCAAACCGTGACTTCATAGTGTTAACACAGAGAATAATGACTTTAAAAACTTACCTTCACTTAACCCCCCCAGCAGCGACCACCCTAGCGCCTCCGAAGCATCGGTGCCGGATTATCCTCCACCACGATCGTCTTGGTCATGATATCATACATGGTTCGGTTGTGCTTGAAGAAGAACATCAGGAAGCACATCGGGAAGAAGAGCGCAATCAGGGCGTTCTTCGCAATCGACCGGCAGAGGGCGCGCTTGAAGCCCGGATTCGTTGCCGGATAGAGCAGGGCTTTGATTGGATTTTGATTGTTGGCCGCCATCCCTGGCTGTGGAGGATCCAGCAGGACTACCGCATCAACGTGCACGATTCGGATGCCCATCAACATTTTTCCCGGAGTAGCGCCACCGATCTGGCCCTGCCCGTGGATTGTCCAAACCGTTTCGTAAATGCAAACGGCGAATTTCGTTATAATTTCGAGGAAAATAAGCTCCGACGTGAACGACAGCAGTTCGGTGTAATCCTCCTCGATCGAGTTTCGGATGGCGTCGAAGTCGATGTCCAACCTGAAAGGAAACCCATTTTAATCCAGTTTCCGAACCAGAACCTGACTTCTCACGCTTACAAATCAATATCGAAAAAGTCGATAAATGCCATCGTCGTCATAACTTTGAGCAGGAAAATGATCACGATATCGATTGCTTCCGCCACGAAACGCTTCCAGAGTGGTGCTATTACGTACTCGTAACCTCCATTGCGATTGATAACTGTAATGATTGAACGAATTGCCTTCATTTGAAAGAACATCAACCAGAAAAACTCACTTTCCTCCTGCCGAGCGGGATCCAGCAGTTCGGCACCCCTTCGCTGATTGGTATTTGGCTGTGCCTGGACTTGATTTCCGGCCGCATTGGCAACCACTCCATTGCCTGCCACCGGCTGCCCGTTCGTTCCGGCCACTCCAGCTGCCGGCTGGAACAGCTGGGGATAGTTGTTCAGCAGGTAGTACGGAAAATAGGCTTGAAGTTGCTGCTGCATTTGAGCGTGCTGGACCCAGGTGCGAAGGAGCTCAAAGTAGATTTGTTTCGGCGTCTTGCTAGGATCCAGAGGTGGGATCGCACCCGAATCGGATGGTTTGTCCGGAACTTCATCCATGCTGTCGATGGATCGGACGGTGCGAACGAAATTTGAAAATTAAACGAAGGATTTTGCCAGAAAAAGATGCGAACAGCTGAGTCAGAAAAACTTGCACGGATACGTGTTGTTGTTTTGGTTTGAAAAGTTTGACGTTTGGCTGCGTGCTGGAGAGCATTGCATTTTACGAAGGCGCGGCAGAAATATATGAGAGATCAAGATAAAAGGTGGGAATCTATTTTTATTTATTAAAGGGCAGCGGTGGTTTAATTTTGGGCGAACATACAATAATAAATTCAATGATTATTTTTATGTGTCCCACACATGAATTTTGGCAATGTGATGAACAAATGAAATATATGTGTTGAACGCATAGTTCTTATGTGTACACATAAAATTCATGTGTAAACACACATACTATTCATTTGATTCATAAATTTTATGTGTACTTCCTAGGAGCAAGCCAGCTGTACTCAAAGTTAATATTTTTGCTCCGAGTAAATTTGAGTAACTCATAATTACTCAAGAATGATCAAAGTAGTCTGGCCTTATTCATCAAACAAATAAAAACAAACCACAGTATGAATAAACATTATGTGTCAGAGGAGGAGGAGAATCAGAATTATTTTATTATATTCTTGATACAAATCCTTATTTAATCAATTGAATTCATTCACAGCATGAAATCTAAGAATTTTGCTTTGAAGGGAAATAAGGTAAAAAATGCCATATCCGAAGATGTCCTAACATGATAAATGTATCCGTATCACCCAGCTAGACGTAATTTATGAGGCCTTCATGTGCTTGGCAAATCAGAGGTTCTGCACGTCTACAATTGGGTTCTTTAAGGGTATTGAGGTAAATGCATATTCGTAATCTGCATTAAAAATGGACCCCAAACCCAAAATTTCAACAATTTTGGTACACTGGAACTATTTTAAATAAGTACGATTACATTTGCAAAAAATCACCTTATTAGCGCCCCTCGGTGTCACTTTGTATGAGAGCGAGCTGTCAGTTTGTTAGTTTAGTGTCAAACAGTGAAGTTATTATTTTGCTTTTAATCTTGATTTAAAAATCGAGATAAAAGTGTGTGGTTTGAAAAAAATATCGCTGTGCTCCGAAAACGAAGCTCTTTCAGATGATGTATAAAAAACGATACATTTTTCAAAATTAAAGAACCCAATTGCAAATTTCATCATCTCAAATAGGAATGTTAAAGTTGAGAATTCAAGATGGATGGGAGCTTGATTTGGTTTTATGGAAACTTAAAATTTTAAATATGGCTATACGATGACAATGTATTGCTTTCAATTAATCTCGGGTCGAACCTAGTGGCAATTAGAAATGCTTGTAGTAAATTTTTCTGAAAATCATGACAACCACCAATCAAACGGATTAATTTTCTATACTTCTCTGAATGCCCAAGTATTAGTGCAGAACTATGAGGTAACTGCCTCAAAGTTCTGTACTAATTCTTGGGCATTCAGACAAAAGTTAGAGAATACTATTTCAGTCGTAACTTTGATGCCTTTCGAATATTCAAACTGTGTTCAATTTAACCAAATTTATCATATTTTGAATCTGCAAATGCTATTTGGATGAAAACGGCTTACAAAGTATTGGTACGAAGCAGTAGGAAGGTCATGGGATATATCTATGGATGATTATCCAGTGTAAACCACCATTTTCTCTCTTTACTTATACAGTTATTCCACTTAGACATTCATCAGGATTCACCTTTCGACAATGGGAAGCTGCAGAATTTAGGAATATTTATCACCGTTGAACGTCTTTCGTTGACAGTAGGGGAATAAACACAACAAGGTTGCTGTGTTACCGTGCATCGCTTGTTGAGCAACTCGAGTTACTCAGAGTTGCTCAAAATTAACTCAAATTTTACTCATGATCAAAAGCTGTCTTGCCCCCAGTGTACTTCTGAGTGGATTCTGTTTATGTATGGACACATGAAAATCATATGGAATTTTACATGGAGTCAATAAAAATGTGTCGAATTTTATGAGTGTATAATACTGGATATGGACTCGGATATGGACTCGGATATGGAAAACTTAGGCTGTGCTCCATTTGGAGAATTTACACTTAAATTTGACGTATGGAAAATTTTCAAATAAACCTGCTATTCTACCAGAGTTATTTCTGACAGACCAAGAATCAAATTTGACAAACATCTTCTTGAAAAGTAAACGATCAACAACAGTGGAATTTTCGAACATTATAATTTATTTTCGAAGTGTCAAAATTAAGTGAAAGTTCACCAAATGAAACACATAGCCTTAATAGATCCAGTCCAAGGGGGAAGACATAATAATCTCTACTTGATATAACCGTAAAAAATCCAATAAACATACAATGATTTTCATTTTTATTATAACCATGATATTTACTGTCAAACATTGGCCAATTTTTTTGATTACCCAGGGGCACAGATTAAGATATACAGAGTTCAAGGGGTGGTCACTCTACACACTTATTTTGTGCCAACATTTTTATCAGTGTACCTCAGTGTGCCACAGCTGTATCGGCAGTGCCAAGAAGTCATTGAACTGACTTTTGTTTGCTTGTGAATAATGCCTTGTTTGGCAACCCGGTATTTTAACAGCTCTTGTGTTTGTTTTGTTTTTCAATGTTTTCAAAAACGACATGGACTCCAGTTGGGACTACACACTGGATGCATCCTTCTTCAAGGATGTCTGCAACGGACGGGCTCCGTTGCTACACGATCCTTCCATCTTCGGTGGAAGGCCGACCCCGAACAACGAACCTCAATCATTAGTCAACCAGCCCTTCTGGAGGAAACGGATTTGCACCGAATTTTTCACCGCCCGAGTATCATCCGTCGGAAAACTGGAATCCAACACCGCCTGGAACACACGTAGGACTAATGAAGAACGCACCGCTGACCCGAAACGGACCAGCGAACTTCATTCAACCGGCACAGCAACAGGGCGCAGTGATGATGGTCTACGGACTCGATAACAACACAGCCATCACCGATAAGCTGTTCAATCTGTTCTGCCTGTATGGAAATGTTGTCAGGATAAAGTTCCTGAAGACCAAAGAGAATACCAAAGATGAATACTAAGATGAAACTGTCGGAAGAAAAACTTTCTATTTTAGTATCCTCTTTCACGGTCGCTTTCATCCAATGAATACCCCCCGTATTCAAGGTAATTTTGTCGTTTGCTGCCCCCTCGACAGAGATGAAATTTTGCGCTCGTTTTTATCAAAATAAACAAACCAAAATCAGAGATGCCCCATTTTTCAATTACTCGATTAACAACTAATCGATTTTTTTTTTGTTCGCTGTGCTGCCATATTTCCATCAATGAGAGTGCAGCACATGTTTGAAACGATCGGTGATGATCCTCTGGAGAAGTTAATGCTTATATCGGCATGATAGAACCGATTACAAATATTTTACTTTTCGGTTCGTTAATCGATTAATCGATAATTCGAATGAAAATCGGCCATCACTAGATGAATGTGAAACGTCATTTCGACAGTGAGCATGCATAAGGGCCTATACGCGATGATCGATTCTCTTCGTCGATTTTCTCTTTTGTTAATAACTCGCTAGATTTAACGTTTCTCGGTGCGTTTGCTGTTGCTTTTGATAGCCAATACAACCTGTTACTACTCTGCATTGAACAAATTCTAGAAAATTGTTTCGCTTAGCTGTAGCAATGCAAAGAGAAAATCGATGAAGAGAATCGATCATCGCGTATTCGCCCTTATGAATGCTCACTGTCGATTTCATATATATGGACCGCACGCTAACTTGAAAGTACTCATTAATGAGTAAAAAAAACTCATTTTGAAGAAAAGTGGCTTAACTCATTAATGATTAAACAATTTTACCCATTAATGAGTATCTGTTACCCATTAATGATTAACAATTACTCATTAATGGGTAACAGATACTCATTAATGGGTACAAAATTTACTCATTTAATGAGTTAAGCCACTTTTCTTCAAAATGGGTCTTTTTCAACCATTAATGGGTACTTTCAAGTTAGCGTGCGTACATAAATAATGATAAAATTTGAAAGGGACCGGGACTCATCACAAATTACGTCCACACGGTAACTGAAATAAACACGAGTGTTCACCGGTTGAGGATACCGCCATGGTCCAGATGGGAGACGCCATCGCAGTCGAACGCAGCACTTAAACAACATTGAATGAATGGAAATGATGGTAGTAAAATTCAAATTGCATTTTCCAAGCAGAACTACTTGTTAGAGTTCACCAACCCGTACACCCTGCCGGACAATTCGATCAGCTTCAAGGTGTACAGCACCTCCAAGAACAATAGGCCTTTTAATAGAAACTAAACGATCGATTCAACCTCTGGTGGTGAATAGGAGAACTTCAAAAAAAGTGTTGTGAGCATAAATTTTTGCCTTGTGACATAGGAAGCGGAACACTTTTTTACTTTTCCTGATAAATTAATTCGTCTGAGATGCTGCAAAACTTAATCTACAGTTGAAAAATTTAATTCTGTAATGTTTTTGAAAAGATACTGCTGGTGTTCAGGAACATTTTTGTTGAGAAAAATGGAAAATTAGAAAAGTGCCTTAGTGGTTATGATCTTCCGGATTTCTTGTGTGTGAATAGTTAAGGTGCAAATCAGTTCAGATTTGTGGAAAATCTTACAATAAGACAATTACCGATGGAAATTGGCAAGATTTTGAATGAAAAATGCTGTTATTTGCGTTGGGGAAAATACTTATTCTGATGTAAACAAACGGTTTGGTTGACGTTTCTTCTCGAACTCGCGTGGCGCACTCTACGTTGGTGGGGAATTAAAAAGGCGTATTGCTTCCCAGGCCAGCAAAAATCGCATTCTCCACTTCTTCAATACCCCTCCCGTATGCTGTCCGAGGATCTGCTGCTGACTGCATTCACCACCAAGGACTGCCACCCGTCACAAGTGCGAATGTTCCCGCTGAAATCGGAAAGTTCCACCTCCGGAATGGTCGAGTTCCCGAGTTCATTATGAAGCTGTGCTTCTCCCTCGGCTTCTCCTCCTCCAAGTCGATGAACGATGCGTGGACCAACGAGAACATCGAAAACACGTAAGCTTGGAAATAGCGGAAGCTTCTTTCTCTGAGAAAAGAAAGGATTTTCCCTAATAAAAAAAATACCATGAACGAACGATAACCCAAATAATAGAACTATACAACAAATAGTTTGGATTATACCCGAAACACGTCGTTAAGCAAAACAACTATAACAATTTTATTAGGGTTCCTTTTTCTGTGTAGTTAATCTTATGATTCATAATTATAATTTCTTATAGGCCTTTTTAATGGGAACTAAACGATCAATTCAACCTCTGGTGGTGAATAGGAGAACGTCAAAAAGAGTGTTGTGAGCAGGAATTTCTGCCTTGAGAGAAAGGAAGCGAAACACTTTTTTACTTTTCCTGATAAATTGATTCATCTGAGATGCTCGAAAACCTAATTTACAGTTGAAAAATTTAATTCTGTTACGTTTTTGCAAAGATCCTGCTGGTGTTCAGGAATATTTTTGTTGAGAAAAATGGAAAATTAGAAAAGTTCCATAGTGGTTATGATCTTCCGGATTTCTTGTGTGTGAATAGTTAAGGTACAAATCAGTTCAGATCTGTGGAAAATCGTACAATAAGACAATTACCGATAGAAATTGGCAAGATGTTGAATGAAAATTGCTTTAATTTGCGTTGTGAAAAATAGTTATTCTGATGTAAACAAACGGTTTGGTTGACGTTTCTTCTCGAACTCGCGTGGTGCACTCTTCGTTGGTGGTGCATTAAAAAGGCGTATTGTGTTAGTTGGAAATGCAAAAAGGCAGGAGAGTAAAAATAATTTGTTGAACTATTTAAGATTTTGCCAAGACGGTCCTCCCTCGGGTCCTGCAACATTATATTTTGGACGATGGAATGGTTGGTGTAGCAGCCACCTCCATGGATGTATACGAGCAATTCTAATGGTCGGATGGTATAGTTTTTGTTTGACTGCTTGTCGTGACCGGCCCAAGATTTCCAGCGTCAGCCACGGCTACACGAATTAGCGATGCAGCTCCCACGGTTGCGGCAGCTTCCAATGCTGCTTCTGCTTTAGTAGCTGCAGCTGTTCCTTCTGCTGGTCCATCTCCTCTAAAATTCGTAAAAAAAATTAAAGACGGACCAGCAGCAGCATTGGAAGCAACCGCAGCTGTGCGAGCTGCATCGCTGGTTCGTGTAGCCAGGGCCGGAAACTTCGGTCAGGTCAAGATACCGCTGTCAGGTGTTTTTCTTCAAACAGGAAATGTGGATGCGACCTCGGATGCGACTGCCATCACGGGTGTAACGATTTTGAGAATCCATGGCGAGACTTGGTGGAGCTTCACGGAAAATAATTTGATTATATTGTGGCATCATCAATAACAAATTTTGACACATGCACACTGCGCAGATGCAGGAAAAATTCAGTGTTGCCAGTAACTTTAAAGGTCATAAAAATTGTAACCATGGGTGCCAAACAGTGCCAATGACTACGCCCGGGTGTGCCCAAGTTTGATTTTGGCACACTGTGTAGAGTGACCAACCCCTTGCAATAACCATAAGATGCGCCTTCCCACCAATTCGGGATATCATCCTAATCCTCTGCCAAGAAGGAGGGTTGCTGAAGCCATCACCATTGGTGGTGTCAGCACTGTAGCCTATGGTATGTTTATATGTGCATTGACGACACGTATGCGTTAAAACATCTTATGTGAATAATCGTTAATGAAACTCTCATTTTTCATCATTAGCTTGCTAATAAATGTTTAATTCCTACATGTACAGCGCGTTAAACATTTATCACGATTATTTTTCCGCGCAACAAATCAAACATCTATGTGGACGAAGCATAATTTCTCAATGTTTGCATCAGCTGTCTCAGATTGTCAGATAATCGAGCCAAAGAACCAACAACTTTGGCAACAACTTGCAAAATGTTCGTGGATGACGGAGTGATCATCCCATCGTTATGCAATATAGTCGCACCCTGAGTACTGCGAACTAACTCAAAATGCTTGTCATCTGGGAGCCGAGTCAAACTGTCAAACGGGAGCCAAACATTGAAAAGAGCTCAAAAGTCACGTAGGTAGTTACTGTTTGAACCACAAGTAAAGGTGTTGCCACCTACTGAAAACAAATTAATAATTATCATTATGAAACTGTGGAAACATTAACCTTAGTTGGTGGATAATGTAAATCATCGAGCGGAATGCTCGAAAAAGTATTTTTATTTGATATTAATAATGCCAAAACTGGGTTGCTGAAACAAGAATGTAATCAAACTTTATAAGAGTCATGTAAGCTTTGTGCGCAGGTGCACTCCCATCACCATGTATATGTTATTTCTGGAGCAGAGGAGGAGGAGCCAAGAGTTCATTTGACAGCATGTATATACAATTTCGTGAGCTGTTTCAGCAAAACAATTTGAAACTTCGGAAGATTTTCAAGATGTTTTCTAGCTCACTTGAAAAATAAAATCGGCTGAGTTCGCAGTACTCAGGTCGCACCCTCTTTTTTCACCCTTTTTATGGCACAGTCCTTTTGGTCCATATTTATGGTCGCACCCAGGGGTTTGACATATAGCTACATACACGTACTCAACATCAAAACAACAAAACATATCAGGGTACCGCTAACAACGTTGCAGATGTTCGGTACGCAGCAAACTTAAGCGATATGACAGCCATATCCATCCCCTGGTCGCACCCTGTCGCACCCAGCAAACTGCCTGTCGATCCGGACCTTATATAAACGTCATTGTTGTTATAGAAACCTTGCAGCTGGCTGCGTCCGTGCCTAATTCTGGGTTCACCTTCCGTATCAGTTTCTTGCTTTTTTGGTAATCCCGACGAAAGCTGTCAGACAGAAAGTCTCTGCTGAAAAGTGTAATGTCACTAGTTTTTCACTGGAGAGCGAGCTACGCGAATGGTTCATCAAATCGGTGTTCCCTGCTGGCGATATTGGCGTGTATAAAGTGAAAAAATACCTTCCTCTAGAAGCGAAAATTCGGTCTGCCGAAATTCCTAGTGCAAACAGTTATACCGGTTGCGTTTTCCGTTCTCAGTTCGATCGATTGGTGCTATCGATCGAGGATAAAAGTGCATTTTCCCAACGGGGATTGGCATCTGAAAAAAGTTCGGGTGAAAGAAAATCAAATTTTCTCCTCCCTCAAGCGTGAAAAAGTGGAATCCAGCCAGCCAGCAGCAGCAGCAGTGTTGTGTTGTACGTCGGAGAGCGAAAAAGAAGGAATTGGGCTGTGGTTGTGTGTGCGTGTCTCGTCTCGGTCGGGTTTTCGGTTCGGTGCAGCACAGTGAGAAGTGAAGTGAAGGAAAAGTGCGAATCCACCAGCCCACCTCCAAATCGAAAAGGTGTCTCCCGAAGTCCCGTTGGATTTTGGGTGGTTCGGTTTGTGATAGCTGAACGGGGGATCAATTGATTGCTTTTTGTTTCCGAGGATCGGAATCGAGTCCGGGAACCGGGTGCCGTTGATTGCCGGAGCAAGCGGTCCATTGGAAGTGCTTGAACAAAACCGGAGGAAGTTTTTTTTTTTTATTCGACTCCAGCGCGAGAGTGTGAGCCAGGGAGAAAGAGCACCCCCAGAAGAGTGAGAATCCATCCGCGACTATGTCGTCATCCGGCGATTTTGGAAATCCGCTTCGGAAGTTTAAGCTGGTCTTTCTGGGCGAACAAAGCGGTAAATATTTTGATGTTATACCTATAAGTCACCACCGGAAGCTGGGAACACCTAACGAGGGAACAAGGGTGGAAATCTGATGCACATAAAAGTGTGTGACGTGTAGCCTTTTATCCGTATGAGCCAGCCAGCCAGCCCTCTGTCCGTAGTGGTGTGTATCTTTCTCTCCCATTTCTCATCTTCTCATCCATCGTCGGTTGAGTACGCTGCGGGTTCCTTTTAAAAACGGAGTTGAGGTGTTTTCGGGGTGTGCTGATGACTAATGTCCACGCGACAGAAGTTGTTTGCCGTGCAGCCGAGAGGGGGTTGCCTTGCACAGCTGAGATGACATAATTTCAGGCTTCGTTGGACGATGAGTGATAACTACCTAACCGTGGCGGTTTGATTGAAAGCGTATGGGGAATCGGATTTTTTTTTCACGCGAATGAGGATGTGGTTGAAACATCTCATCCAGGACCTCAATATATTGTAGATTAATTCGAAAGAGTTCATGCAGAAGTTCAGATGGTTCTGGATAACATTTTGGAGTCCCATAGAAAATTAATACAATAAGATTTAAAAGATGGGGACTGTTTAAGGGATACCGACACAACTCTGGGGACTTCAAAGCCTCACAATTAGAAATAAATAGTGACTTGGGTAATGGTTCACGCCCGTCAAAATTTGTGGAGTTTTCGTTATTTGAGAGCGTAACTAATAGGAAGATCAGAAAAAATGCTTGTAAAGTTAAGGAATTATGTTTCCAAAGAAATCATGATGAAGGAATTGCAAAATAATATCCGGAAACTTTTTGATGACGACGTTCTCCAGTAATAACAAATAACACAATTCGATTTGAAGTTTACTGGTCTATTGTACGTCTACTATAGAGAAACATTCTCTAAAAATTTAAAACACTGTAGAAAGTCCTCTTAACATCCTCTATAAATCACTACAAAAAAAAATATGCAAGTCTACAAACTTTCCATTTAATATTTCAGACCTTATTGACTTCAGCATGTCTACTTTAGTTAATAAGAAATAATATTTTGTTTGTGCCCCTCCCCATGGACATGGAGGTTGACGGTACTGAAGCAAAGGGTTATGTTTAATTTCTTTATATTTGCAACGATGATGATTTCCTATAGTGACACATATCACCTTCTTAATGCTTCAGTATGCCTCAAACGATTAATTCTTGGTTGTTAATAGAACTTCCTTGATGCAATCGGCTGCTTCATGCAGACTGAGCAATTCTGATTATAGTATCAGATTTGTTCTGTATGCAGAGGAACTGGGAGGGCTTATTAGAAACTTCTCACCAATAAAGTAATGACCTTCTAGTAAATTTTGCATATCATTTTATTAATATTTTATTTTATTTAAGCATATTATTTATGTTACAGTCAAGTAGCATTAGCATACAATACAAGAGATTTAATATTACTTGCTCGGTTTTGCATAAAATAATCAATATGTATTTTGCTTGTAATTACCTTTGAATTTTTTTTTTTTTGTTATTTCAAAATGTTCCTAGTTTGGTTAGAAGTTTCGAAGCTAACACATGTCCACGGCCTAATAGAAAGATAGACAGACAAAGCGTATCATGAAGAATAGTTGCATGCAGGGTTGCTTCCACTCACTTTCTATAGATGAATGATTTTCGGAGTTTTGAATTCGTTAGATGTTGTAGTGGAGGTTTGTGTTGTTGGATGAGGGAGGAGATTTGAGGGCGGGTGTTTGACGCATAGAGCCTGTCAATTTCGCTTTCAGAGTGTCGCAGTCAGCGGTTTTATGATTCGTGAGCGCTCGCGATTCGTAGAATCGTTGATTGTGACTGCCAGTGGATTTGGCGGGTTTTGTGTGTCGGACACTTGCTTTTTGGCCTTTTCTTGTGTCTAGCATGTGCAGAGTATCATTATAGCGTCTAATGGTTTTGAGATTCCTGGTTGCGTGAAATATACTTGTGACAATATCTTTTTGAGATTTTAGTAGTCACGTTTTGTTTGTAGTTTATATGTTATTTCTTTCATGTAATTATCGTAAATAATAGTTATTCAATAATAGATAATTCATCCATATATTCAATAATAAATTTACGAATGACTATAATTTGGATACCTAACAATTGGACAGAATCACTAGCATGAATAGGTTGTGTTCGCCTTCGAAAATATCGATTCGTTTTTTCAGGGTTGTAGTTTTGGTTTTCATCAGTGGCCCGGCTCTGATTGTGAACGATTTAGGTAGTATTTTTAGGTAACTATAGCTTTTAGCACAACTTTGCTACTACGAATCCACAAAAGACATTAAATTGGAGGCGGATTCTGGTACGGAATTACAGGCTTCTATTCTGAGCAACTTATCTTCATAAAATTAAAAATTACATTTAGGTATTAATTAGCAAATATGAATAGTAGTTAACTTTAACATAATTTTGATAAAACAATCATTTCATCCAGTTCACTTTGAAACAAACAAGTATGAAAGGAGATTGCTTAGAATAAAGATAAAAGTAATAAGCGCAATATTAAACGACATTAAATTTGAATCTGATACGGTAGGCCATATAACAGAGTCGATAGCCATTGCAAATCAACCATCTCTACCTGCTTATTTTCCTAACTTTCACTATTATTGCTGTTACTCTGACTATCCCCTATGTTCAACAGCTTTCTTTACTATCCGGTATCGTAAACAGGATTCATTTGACCCCTGTGGTTATTATTCTGTGATGCCAAATCTATACCTCTACCCTGGTGCAGTATGGACAGCGATTTTTCGCTGGTGACTTGGCCCTATGACCCCCTTCTGTGCTTGAAAATGAAATGAAAATGAAAATGAAAGAAATAATATTTTGTTTGTGCTTACTACACTTGTCCTAGGAAGACTATAACATTTTTTTTGTTAAGGACTAAAGGGTCAAAAGGAACAAAAATTGTAAAGAACAGCAAGTCGAAATGGACAACAAGTCAATGTTAAAATCGACAGAAAGCATTCAATGATATCATCCGGATCACTCCTATCGGTTTCGTCAGCAAATCAGCAGTCATTTGCTCGGTTGGGCAATGCACGAACTGGATCTCACCGTTCTTATTCGAATCATGTGCAAACTGAACCGCGTTGTAATGTGTCTTGTGCTTTAGCGAATTTTTTTTTTGGATTCCAGCACTTCTTAGATAACAAAATTCTGCTGTTCGAGATCACATAACAAGGCGCTTTAGCAACACTAGGCACAACGGAGAGTGCGGTAGCCATAGTAATGGCTGGGTTCGAAACCTTCTTGGCGGAACACTAAAGTTAATCCTACGCAGCAGGTCGGGGCAATCAATATTGCCAGAGATAATGTCGAAAACAAACAACCGATCCAGCAAAGTCCCTCTCCATGATAGAGTGTTCAATTCGATGAGTTGACATCTACCTCCGTAGGGCGGAAATTTGTTGTGGATCGTTCCACGGGAGACATCTTAGGACGTAGCAAACACATTTTTTCCTGACCCCCTCAATACGATCAGAGCGGGTGGCATGGTGAACGAGAGAAAAGAACAGCAGTTTCAGCGAGTAAATACCGTCAAAATCGGCAGCAGTACGCTGAAAAACCCTAGAACCACGTCAAGCTGATATTAAAAGGTCAACTACGAGCGAGACCTGCTGAAGCTGACTTTACTTACTTACCTTACCTTACCAAATCAGGCTAAGGCCTTGTTGTCCTCTGCTGTCCGAAGAAGTCATCTCCACTCTACTTGATCGATCCACCTTGCCCGCTGCGCGCCTCTTCTTCTTGTTCCTGTTGGGCCGCTTTCTAGAACCATTTTCACTGGATCGTCGTGCGGTATTCTAACGACGTGCCCAGCCCACCGTAGTCGCCCAATTTTTGCAATGTGGACGATGGATGGTTCTCCCAGCAGCTGGTGCAATTCGTGGTTCATTCGCCTCCTCCACGTTCCGTCATCCATCTGCACTCCACCGTGGATGGTAAACAACACCTTCCGTTCGAAAACACCAAGGGCGCTTTGGTCCTCCACGAGCATAGTCAAGGTCTCGTGGCCGTAGAGGACCACCGGTCTAATCAGCGTCTTGTAGACAGTCAACTTCGTGCGGAGGCGAATTCTATTCGACCGGAGTGTCCTCCGGAGTCCAAAGTAGGCACGATTCCCTGCCATAATGCGTCTTTGAATTTCTCTGCAGGTACCATTTTCGGCGGTCACCAGTGAGCCGAAATACACGAACTCATCGACCACCTCCATTTCGTCACCGTCAATCTGAACTCGGGGTGGGAGGCTAACATTGTCGTCCCTAGAACCTCTTACTTTCATGTATTTTGTCTTTGATGCGTTGATGGCAAGTCCAATCCGCATAGCTTTCAGTCTGATGTACGCTTCCACCATCGTCGCAAGTTCCGTGCCATGATGTCGATGTCATCGCCGAAGCCAAGAAGCTGGATGGACTTCCTGAAGATCGTGCCACTCGTGTCTATCCCAGCTCTTCTGATCACACATTCTAACGCGATGTTGAATTGCAGACACGAAAGTCCATCACCTTGCCGTAACCCCCTTCGAGATTCAAAGGGACTCGAGAGTGTCTCCAATACTCGAACAACGCACATCACTCGATTCAATCGGGTCAGTTTAACCGGAAATCCGTACACGTACATAATCTGCCATAGCTGATCTCGATCGACTCTGTCGTATGCGGATTTGAAATCGATGAACAAATGATGTATCGGCACTAGAGTGATGCAAATTTTAAAAAATTTCGCTCCACAATACTTAAACGATTCCAAATCTGATCCTGACTAACCTCTCAAAATTTGAACCCATTTGGTGAGAAACTAAGATGGCACAAACCATTTGAAGTTTGTATGGGAATTACTATGGTAAAACCAAGATTTTTGTTCATGTCTATCTAATAATTCACCATATCGGTTTACTTCAAAAACTTTCAACTGTACTTGTAGGAAATTTTCCCAGCTACAACTTTGCTGGAGATCATTTTTTGATTAAATGCAAGGATCGAAAGTT